CCCTCCCCCTGTGACGTCACCCCCTTCGCCGCGGGTACCCCCTCCTCCCCGCACCCCCCCTCGAAGCTCCCGGGTTAGAATCGGCCTAGCTACCCTATTATGAGCCCTAAGAAATCTCCTACGAACAATTATCATCTACCGAAGGACGGAAAGCGCCTGGCTAAAATTACGACGACGTGACCGCGCATCGTATTTTCGACAATGAAACAAAATCTGCTCAGCGAGTAAATCAATAGCAATTAATATGCTAATTAGATAAAATGCTTTTTGCGGGCCCTAGCATGATACATGCGTGTGCACCCTAAGACGCACGCGACAGCAACGCGCGCTTATCGGTTTTTGATTCGCGCATCATTGTTACGCATCTAGTGAGGTGACGATGGTGGCATTCGTATCGATCCTTTATCGAATAGGATCTACCTCGTTCTCTTTCTGTGCAACCGTGGCCTGAGGTGGATCTCTTCAAGCCGAAAACGTGTGCAGTGAACCTGAAGAAGGAAGAAATCGCAAAATCCAGTGAGACAGCTCTTGCTTTTTTATAAAACCACGAATTCTCTTGTCGCATCTCTCCTCGCTCTGGGCTGATGCCTACCGCATTTTCGAGTCTTGATGGCAGCGCGGCCGCCATTAGTGAATTTCATCATCCTCAGCGACATATCGCGACATTAACAATTATTCCGAATGAGCGGAGCGATCGATCTTAAGCGAAATAAGCGACCAAGACGAGAGTCTGCTAAAATAGAATAAATGATTATGTTCGACCTCTCGAAAATACCGGGACCGCATGTAATGCAGACGAGTGACGATCGTGAAAAGGAGCATGGAAGTGTCTCGCGCCATGTCTTAGCGCCGAGACACTATCGTGTCTTCAGATAATTAATGCGCTTGTGTGACTGTTGTACATTTTCGCCTGTGCATATGTGTTTGTCGCATAAAACATTACTTCATATTAAAGATTATGCATTTCGCGGGTTTTCTCCGTGACCAGATCCATTCTTGGAATGCCTTCGTGAACCTTGCAGTTCACTTCATCAGGGCGAGGAGCAGTCTGATACTCGAAACATTGACATTCCTAGAATGGATCTGGACACGGAGAAAACCCGCGAAACGCATAACCTTTATACAAAAAGCACCCGTGGAAACCTCAAAAAGATTCATATTGTTTGTGTTGAGTGTGTGTGTGTGTGCGTGCGTGCGTGCGTGTACGTGTGCGTGCGTGTGTGTGTACGCGCCGCGTGCATGTCGTGTGCGTATGCATGTCGTGTGCGTATGCGGTCGTGTGCGTATGCATGTACCTGTCGTGTGCTTGTGCATGTACCTGTCCTGTGCGTGTTGTGTGCGTGTGTCGCGTCACCGTGGCTGCATTCCATAATTCACTGTCAGTACTGAAAATTTGTAATGTATGTACGTAAGATACACTATAGACTTTCAATACTAGCAGTGAATTAAAATGCCATTACACGGGAGCATTACGTGGGATCTACAATAGAAATCGTAGCGATCTTAAATCGTAGAAAATTAACCAACAATCGAATATGAGAAAAATAATTGTAATTGATCAATTTTCTATAACTTAGGACCCTACGACCGCTACAACTTCTATTGTAAACCCTCCTCCCCCCTCGTATTAAGCATCGAGCGTTAAAAGATGCGCAGTAATAAGTTTAATAATTTTACTAAGCCGTGTCCCATATTCACTGTCCTGTACTGAAAATCTATAGTCAACGTTACATGAGCTAATTATTAGAACACATCTGTTATACGTATTATCAATTTAACTTTTTTCTTTCGAAGTTTTTCACAACTCAAAATTTTTATTCATTTTACTTTAATGGGCGAAAGGTTAATAATTTTTAAGCAAATGGGGATAAGATTTGTAATTATAAATGAAAGATAATGTATTAATGAGAAAGGTATTACAGAATACTTAAAGATGCCTTGGCTCGTGGTTAAATTTGATTTTGAAAATACTGTTGAAGCTGTACCAAAAAACTGGTATTGTGAAAAAACCTCGACTTGTTATTGGCCAGATGCCTGCAGTAATCTTGTTATCAAAGAAAAGATAAAAAATCAGGACACTCCGGATCGTTCATCATTGAAAACATATCCTGCTGTAATCTTGGGGTAATATGGTAAACCTTTTCTCAATTTTATCTCTTTTTCATATTTTACAGCTCTTCCAACCGTATTCTCATTTTTTCTCTTCATTTATTAATATATATTCTCTGATGTGCGAGTTTTAATATCCCATCCATTAAATATATTCTCATATACAATAGAAATATACATATATATTGTGTATATACACATACATATGGGTGGCACCCAGTTGGACACAGCTCAATTGGACACGAGCCACTCACAGCGCTTGAGATTACAAAGCTCTTAAGCACTGATCGCTGTGATTGGTGGTATCCAATCGAGCCGTGATCAATCCGGATCCCCCATACATATACATATATAGCTAAACTTTATAAACATTAATTATTACATAAAAACAGAATTCTTTTAATGTATGTGATTTTGCGTGCATAATTCATTACATAATTGTGACTTTTTAAAAATGTTTTCTGCGTTAGATGATTTAAAAATTGCCAAAAAAAGGCTAATAAAGCTAAAGCTAAAACTACTAATGAGCTTTCTTCACATAACGAAGATATTAAAAGAAAACGGATACGAAAAAAGAAAAGAGATAATTCTTGATATAATTCGAGTCAGGATAGCAGAAGGATGTATATCAGGAATACTCGTATCGTGTTATTTGACACACAGCAATCTTTATTGTATCTTATTATTCTTAATACACGAGCGAAAGTAATGGCGCGTACCGTACACAATAAAGGCGGGAAGCTAGTGATAGGAGAGAGTAAGTAAGTGAGCCTAGCAAGAACCAAAGAGTAGAATTAGCATAGATGGTGCGACGGTAGGTTATAACGAAAATACTCAATTGGAAACGCTGCCATAAACCAAAGAACATGTGATTGTATGTAAGTGTGGTTACGCGTATATAAGGAACACAAAAACGAAAAGTAAATGTAAAATTTGTCGATTTCCACAATAATAAAAATCGAAATAAAGAATCGTCAAATACCGATGATATATCATTAGATGATAACTCAAGTGATGGAAATACTTATCCCATCACATCTTTTCTGAATTCAAACAAATCAGTAAATAGTAAATATCATTATCTATGAATAAAGCTTATAATTGAACTGTTTATTCATATAATATATGATTTCTTCAATTTGACCAGACACTCACCGGAGGATTACTGTGCATGAACATGAAAGTACAGACAAAAGTGGAAATAGTAAGTATAATTATGAGAAATAATGGAGTTCTAAAAAGTTGTTGCCTAATATGTTGTGAAAATAAACTACAAAAAAATGTTTAAAAAGTAAGATATAATATATACCATTTTTTATTTTTTTATAGATGTAC